AGTTACAGGTACGCTGATTGTATCAACCGAGCCGCTGAGCTCACAACCCCTTTTCTCTCTGTCGGTGGTACAGCGGTGATGTCAGGGATTGAAGGCTAAGTTACTGTTGTGCTTTTTACAGTTCGGGTTGAGTGCGTTTTTGAGCCAAGACAGCAGCATAGCGTTTCTAGTTAAGGGTTCACTTTGTAGCCGCCTGGAAGACCATCTTCCAGATCGTCCTGTTTGTGTGAACGGCGGTGCGCGCGATCCGCACCGAGTTACAGACATCTAGAGGTGCATAAGGTGCTGCGACAGGCTGCACATGTGGCGTTTTTTTTACGGTGGAATTCTGGGAACCCCACAATGTAAAAAAAAAAAACGTAGATTTTACGGTAAAACGCCGGCAGCTGGGGTTGGCAAAATTCCACTGTAAAAACAATTTATGGTGTTGGGAACCCGGGTTGTTGGAATGGTTCCTTTTTGCTGCTTTCCCCCTCTTTTACCACCAGAGGGTGCCAAGAGGCTGTTCCCTCCTGAGGGAGTTGCCCGTGATTCCTGGATTCCTGCACAGCTGCAATTAATCAGATCATCTGGAGGAGTATATGAGGACGGAGCTGCTGACACTTCAGATCCAGAGTGTTAGCCAGTATTTGGTACTCCAGCCCTCCATGCTTCTCACTGTGATTTATATCTCTTTGTGCTTCTTCCTCAGGTTATTCCTCGTGACGCTGTGGACCCACTGGTTGCCAGAGTTCCACTGACACCTCTACAGTAAACCAAACCTCTTTGGATTACCCTGTGATCAGTCCCACTTGCTCCTCGCCTTCTGTGATCCAAAGCTTACCTGTCCGCTCTCCACCGCAGCCTCTTGTTCAGTCAAGCAGCAACCCTCCATCTGAACCAAACCCGGTAACCACAGTGATTCTTCCCCCTGGACAAGACCTACCTCCACCCAAGTAAGACCACTCCGTTTATTCTGACACTGCCATTTTCAACGACCCCTGAACTCACCATCTCTCTTTTTTTGCCTCCCAGTGCTCCAGTGATCCAGATTGCAGACTTTCTTCAGAACCTGATTGTTGATTATTATTTTGGGTTTACAATAAACTTATTTAACTGATTTCTGTTCTCCGCCTGGAGTTCTGCATGTGGATTAAGACTCCATTATGACATACAGGTAAAATCTGTTTTTTTTGTTTGTTTGTTTGTTTTACGGTAAAACGCCAGCAGCCGGGGTTGCCAAAATTCAACCGTAAAAAACAATTACGGGTACATTTTTTATTTATTTATGGTGGAATTTCGGCAACCCCAGCTGCCGGCGTTTTACCGTAAAATCTACGTTTTATTTTTTTACAGTGTAGGTAGAAATCATAAAGAAGATTAGAGATTGATTTTGCACACACTTCACTAAAAATCAGACAAATCTATTACTTTTAACAGTGGATTAAAGAAATACTTTTTGTTGCATTTGGAAACACTAAGTTACAGCAGAGCCAATCAGCATGAACATTTTTAAAAAGACTCATTTAAAGAATACATCAAACATTTAAATGTGATACTGAAGTGCGTGGTCTTCCTCTTCAATCTGTGCATGATAGACGTTTGTGAACTGTCTCTGAATGTTTGCATCTATAGCTTACCTGCTGCCATTGGCTGTAGCTATCTGTGGTTTGATGATGATGATGATTATTATTGTTATTATTATTATTGTCTGTATGGTTATAATGTGTTGTTACTCTGACAATAACATGTTGTCTTTTATATCTTCAGTTGGTGTTATCTGAGCTTGA